TATTAGTTTAGGGAACTCCAGTATCCCTTAATTAAGGAATATTCCTCAGATCATATTAGGGATCGGACTACAATTTAAAGTATATTCCGAAATTACGGGATATTGGAGTCTCTGGGTAGTTTGGAACCGAGGGACGGGGGGGGGTCTCCCTATGGAAGCTGACGGGCACAAAAAACAAGGTACCTTACCCAATACCTCCTGGTAACCTATATAGCAGGTTACTGGCCCTAGTGCCCGGAATAGGGGATGTTTGGCCCGAAGACACCCTACGCCAGGAACCGAAGGAGCTTTAGGAACCATTGATGTCAGTAAATCGTAAATATCACTGGACTCAGTATAAATAAGTAAATATATAATATATAATAATATATATAATATATAATATAATATATATATATATATATATATATTATATATATATATATATATATATATATATATATATATATATATATTATTACTATTATATTATATTATATGTATATATATATATAATGTTAAAACTACTCCTCGAATAGTAATATTCTTCTACAGGGCCCGGGGATAACAAGCCGAATATTTTGACCCTTCTACCCGAAATCAAACCCTAAACTTGGGGGGTGGGTAGTGGGGTTTAGAAGCAGTACAAGGTCTTGGGGTTTGGGTTGGTCGCTATTTGGCCGATTTAACAACTGTTTCATTGCCGCCTCGCTCCTTCAAGCTCTGCAAACCAGTTAACCCCTCGAACCTGCCCGAAACCCTAAAGCCGAATGCCCTTATTCATAAGCCCCATCACATCGCAAAGCATATATCGTCGAAATCTTCAAACCTGCAAACCCCGCAACCCTGTCTCAAACCCTACAGCCCTAAAGGCCTTAAGGCCCTGTGAAATCGCGAAGCAACCGTCGAATCCGCCAGATCTGCCAAGCCCTGCCCTAACCCCGAGCCCAAAGCCTCTGAAGCCCGGCCACGTGGTTGGCGGTTTGGATTCAGGGTAGGGGTTTAGGAACTAGGTTTTAAGTTTTAGGACGTCGGGCCTGAAGTTAACTGGGTTCCTTAGATAATAAGGCAGCAGGCTAGGATTAATACCTTGGCCCCCGCCAGCGGTAGCGATTCGCGATTTTGCTAGCGCCGGCGCAGCAGCTCCTTCGGTCTCTCGGCCGCCACCCTTCAGGGATTGGGCACTTCCGGGATTAGGGGCCTAGAACTACTATATATCAGCAGGCCTAACAACAGAATTTCTGCAACACCAGACCTCGGCAAGCTTCGTTTCAGCACCCTGTCTTCGAAGTTTCGGCCGGCTCGTGCTTTCACGCATAAAGGTTTCAATAGTCCCAGGCTGTCCTCTTGCGAGAAACAATGTTGGAATCTCGAATTGTAACCTCAGGTCGGCCAAACATGCTTATGAAATCCTCTTGTCATCGCTTCAACCCATTCAAACATTAATCACAAAGCTGCGACTTATGAGTAAAACGAGGCACACTCGGACTGGATGTCCAGCAAGGTTTCTTCAAAGGCCTAAGAATGAACATGATGGACCCAACCGCCAGGTTTTCGATGTTCAAGCTATTACGATTGCACGAATAGGTAAGATCGATGCAGGCTAGGGACATGGAGCTTGGGCCTGAGGAAGAACCGTAGCTGACCTTCGGCACTGTACCTTCTGGCACATTCACGATACAGCAGCAGGAATTTCATGCCACGGGAGTAAAGCTCGTCTGCTTCCAGTCTCGTCAGCAGTCGTGGCAAGCTTTCAGAAAGCAGTTGCCAACCAGCGATAGTATGCCTAGCTGATCAACGAAACCATAGGGTTGGGGCTTTACGGTTTAGGGCTTAGGGCTCCAAGGTGTTGGGGTTTCGGTTTCATGGTGGAAAGGCGGCCCGGGATTTTGCAGTATGCAACACCTCAAATCTGATATAGTTATATGAATATTAATATCGGCACAGATGCACACAGCTGCATATGAGGCTCGCGAGCTCTTCTCGACGACGAAATTCGTCATCATCTTCCCCTGGCCGCCGGGCCCGCAGAACAGCTTGCGTCGTCTGACATGTCAGAGCTTCCTCAGCTCATTATCTTTTCGGGTTCGGGATTTGGGTTGTTTTGCGTTTAGGATTAAAGCCTTTAGGGTGAAGGATTTCGGGTGTTTTGGCTTTAGGATTAAGGCCTTTAGGGTTAAGGGTTTCGGGTGTTTTGGGTTTAGGATTCAAGCCTTTAGGGTGAAGGGTTTCGGGCGATTTGGGTTTAGGACTTAAAGCCTTTCGGGTGTTTGGGGTTTGGGATGAAAGCCTTTAGGGTGAAGGATTTCGGGTGTTTGGGGTTTTAGGATTAAAGCCTTTAGGGTTAAGGGTTTCGGGTGTTTAAGGCTTAAGGTTTAGGATCAAGGCCTTCAGGGTTAAGGGAGTCGGATGTTAACCGTGTTGGGTTTAGGATGAAGGCCTTTAGGGTTAAGGGTTTCGGTTGTTTGGTTGCTGACTTATTAATGCCATCCAACTGTCTGCAAGCCAGGCCAAAACCACACGACAGTTGTAGGCTTTAGCGGCGAGGAATGGATAGTCAGTAGCCGGCTTGTTGACGGGATAGTGCAGGTTTGCTGGCGTAAATCTTCGCTGGGAGCAAGAGATACCCTGAAGTTTGCAGTATCTTTGGAACTCATTGAATAGGAATCGAAGTTTGTCTTCGACCTCGCTGCCCCCGCCATATACCTCGTGCTCCATCAGCTGTAAAATCCCCTCTGCACAGAGATTCTGGAGAATTCCAAGGTTGAGGATGTGCATCGTACATCCTCGCCTGAGTGGCAACAGCAGTACTACGAGACGACCGGGGGGGAGCAGACCCTAAATCCCTAAATCACATAATCTACATTGAACAAGGTAATCGACCAAGAGTCAGCATCCGGACATGGAAGCCGGGGATGAGAATCATCGGGTTGGGGCTTCTGGGAAACACGTGAAGTAGTGCTTCGACATTCGAAAGTCTCTCCCAGCATGTCCCAAACTGGGTATACAAAGGACCTTTGCCCGAGAGGCGGGCTGCATTGCATCTGTGGCATATCAAACCACACTGCCAGTTGCGAAGTAACCCAAAAGCTTCTCGCATGTATTTTTGATCACCTTTGTATTCTGTAATCGCAAACCGTGCCGAAAGTTCGGGCTTGCTCGAAGCCAGTTGCTTCTGTCTGCAGCTCAAATCAGAAGTTGTGCCACTGGGGCCATGTATGGGGCGACGCCCCTGAAAAGCGCAGGTAAAGCTCCATGCTGCTCTATGGTAGATGGGCCGCAACGTCTCCTGCAAATGACAAAGTCCCAACATAAAAATCCCCGAAGCCGCAACCCAGTGTACCCTAAATATATTCGCAACCATCTTAAGCATCTCCTCGCCAGCACAGTAGAAGGAGTTCACAACGAAGTATGTAAAGTTCTTTCTCCATGGATCACCTTTTCAGGCACGAGCTTAATGATACACTTAAGGCTAGGCTTGCACATGTTATATACTAAATTCCCCGAAACCCCAGAACCTGAACCTTAAGTAAACCCATAACTAGCGAAATACAACCGGCAAAACACCAGGCCTTTGCACTTGTGTAATGTAAACGAAAACATGAGTGCCAGGAAAGAATCTCCTTGTTTCGTGAATTGAGCCTCGTCCCCATAGACCTGAACAGGCTTTCGGGTGCAGGGTTTAGGGTGCTCTGTTTAGGCTTGGGGCTTTGGTGTGTAGCGACTATAGCTATATTGCATCCCGAGCCAGCTAATTGCATTATTGTCCGAGGTGCAGAAATGGGAATGCTGTGCTCGTCGGCAGGATGCTGCTTGGCCCAATCGACATCAAGGGCCCTGAAGTGTCGCCAATATTGCCTTAGACTTTGCGGGAAGGTGTTAAGCTAATTAAGTGGCTCACGATTATAGAATTAGAGGGTTGCGAATCTCAATGTACAATTGAAGGGTTCAGCCTAGATGCACGATTTCCTCGTCAGGGATGTAGATTCGATAAGTGGACCAGATATACTCTATGTACTCGTGCGGGTCCAAAAACGGTAGAGCCTTCTCGACCCGTTGCTTTGGATCTTCAGGGTGTAGCAGCGGGACTTTCACCCAGTTGAATGCCTTGGATAGCTGCTGTAATTATTATGTCGGCTAGGCATCAGGCCTGTGGTTGGCGCTTTCGATTGGAATTGAGTTAGGCCACGATGGGAAGCTTCACAAATCGAAACAAATCGCGATCACAGTTCCCCAGTCGCTTCTTGTTGTACATCTTCGCGACTCGAGCAGTGGCTGCACTGACATTTTCGACTCCTGCTTCCTTGCAGGCGATACACAATATGATAATTGCATGCAAGAAAATTCTATTCCAAAAGCCCGCCCTTAAGTCCTTGACAGCTGCATAAGCATTTTCAACAGTGGCTTTCGCACTCTGACGGCCGTCACCCAGCGACTTGAACCTAAGCTATAAGCTGTAATGTAGTGTAGTGTGGTCATGTTTCAGCAACCAACGGATTCTCCGGGGGTCGCACATGTGTTGTGCCAAAGCAGCATCATCAGAACTATCCTCGCCATCAGATTCCAACTCGATGCCTGCGGGGGGAGGGGGCCGGAGTACGACTAGGTTGAACATTAAGCTTCAAGCATGCATTCTGCCGGGCCGAGGTTTGCTTTCTGGCAGCGAATCGGCAGCGGCAAGTTCCACGAGGCTCGCTCCTCTGGTTCCCCTTTAAAAAGCACTCAAACCTACAACACGACTCGCCCTCTCCGGAGCTTGTAGTGCCACAGCCCGACACTGTATGAAATTGGAGTTAGTAAGGATTGGGGCCCGGGATTAGTGTAGCTATAGGTTTAGGGGGTTCAGGTAAAGTCTAGCAGCAGCTTATAAGGGTTGTAGTGTAGCCGGACCGTACTCCCACATTATACGGTTTGTTACTTCTGTACATGCACACAAGCCCCTATGAGAAGGATGTTCGTGCCAACCAAGAGTGCATGCAGATATGATCCGTCTCCTGCGATCATGATCACATCCAAAACTGCTACTTTGCCGCCACCTTACCCTTCGCCTTGGCTTTTGCGGTAGCCTTTGGAGGCTTTTCTGATGCAGCAACCTTCCTCTCAGCCGCACGAACTGGCTCGGAAACCGTCTTGAACTTTTGCAATGCGGCCTCCAGCTCCTTTGCCCAGCTGTACTTATGAAGCACATGAGAACATATAGCTACCCATGCAGACAACAATTGCAACGTAGAGACAAGTCACACGGAAAAGGGGCTCCATCTTCACTTCCGAAACCTTCTGCCCGATTGCTGTTGCCACCTTGTACTTGACCTGCTCCAGGTGGATCTTGGCGGGATCCACATCCGCCAAAATGGCGGCCTTCATGTTGCTCGCCCTTGGAAGGATTCTGGTAGGTTAAGGTTTTAGGGGTAGGGTTGAAGTTTTAAGCTAGTATGCTACATTGTACTGTGAAAGCGCCATACAGTCAGGTTATAGCACCGCCTGGTAGCATATTGCAAACACCGGAGCCCGACTCGCACCCATATCTTTCTAGATGTCTCTACTATATAATATAGACCACGAATCCCTAAGCCCTAAACCCTGAACGAGCACAACACATAACCCTAAAGGTCATTAATTAAAGGCAAGAATACCCCCGGCTCTGACCCTAAGGGTTGCCCATTCCAAGCTACACATGCAAACCCGAACAGACTAAATAATGGAATGCTGTGTGTCCCTGGACAACATCCGTATCAATATTGCTAGATTTATGACGACAAACCCGGCTTTACGACCCTTAAGGGTTTCGGGGGTAACCGGGCTTACAATATAGCAGGCTTCGGGCTTTTGATTGAAGGCTAAAGCAGGGCAGGGTTCAGGTCTTACGATGACGGGGTATGGGTTTATGAGTCTAGGAACACACCAGCAGCCGGCGAGGACAGGATCTGCTTGAAGCCAGCATAGTCGATGATTTCCTTGTTGGCCCGCTTGTCCGCCTTGGCTAACTATAAGTGAACTGGCTTAGGGTTTTGGTTTTAGGGTCTAGGGTTTGGTGGGTATTTTAGGAGTGTAGGGTTTGGGATAACAAACATCTGCACTCTCTAGCAGCATATAACCAACTGGTTGTAGGGTTTAGGGTTTTGGTGTAGGGCTTTGAGTTTGGGGGTTTAGGAGTTCAGGGTTTGGTGGGTTTAAATTATCACTACAGACATCTGCCTTGGTAAGCAGCAGCATACAAACGAAGTGGGTTGAGGGTTTTGGTGTAGGGCTTGGGGTTTGGGGGTTTAGGAGTTCAGGTTTCCGGGACAATATGTTGATCATCTGCCTGGGCTGGGTAAGCAGCATACAAACGAAGTGGGTCCAGGGTTTAGGGCTTGGGTTTAGGGTTTGGGGGTTTAGGAGTTTAGGGTTTCGGGGCAATATTATTAATATTCGTCATTACATGTACAGGCACCCCCCTGAAATCGCAATTCTATCGAGTTACATCCTGGGCCTTCTCCCTCCACGTTTTTTCCTTCTTCGGCTTCGGCTGCGGCTTCGGCTTTTGGTTTTCGTTGTTCCCGGGCTTCCCAGGCTGCAGGCTCGACTCCGGCATCTCTTCATCGAGCAAAGCATCCCTCAGCTTCATGAAAGTCTAAAGGTTCGATGTCGTGGAGTCTAGACGATTGTAAGTTGTATATATGCGACAAGCCGCATCGCTGTGTGCACATCGTTCTCGTCCACATCGTTTGCTTCGATCTGCATGTCGGCGGAATTCGTGAACTTCTTGTCGGAAATGTCCTTGATCGTGTCAAAGACCTTCAGCAACGTCATTTCCTGGCAGAGTGTTTAAAATGAAAACCCGAAGCATAGAGAACCCCATCATAATAGCCATATGAAACCTTTAACCCCGACCCTGTCCTCGACTTTGCTAAAGTTAGGATGCACTCGGAGGAGTTTTCCTGATAACCTGCTGTCCAGCTCCTTGTGGCGTGCGTAGAGGTCGTTTGCGAGGTCCTCGCCTAACTCCAAGCGGAGGGCCTTTAGGGTCCGCCAGCTGTAAACCTCTTTGGTCCGCTTGGATCTCTCGGACCTCCCAGCAGGAAACTATAAGCCCCAGCCCCGAACAACCTAGAGAATAGCACCAAGCGGTTTGGAACACAAGGTGCTTGGGGATCTGGGTTTTGTGAATCTAGGATCTAGGAGTCTGGGGCCTTGAATAGGAGTCTGGGGCCTTGAATTGGGTTGAACTTATTCCGTTGGTTGGTGTTGTTTCGGGTTCTGGGTATAGATGGAGCTAGGAGTTCCAGGCCCTGTGGTGTCTGCGAGTGCAAAGTAGGAGCCTAAAGCCTCCCGGGTTTGGGGGGTGTTATTCTTGGCGTTTCGGATAGAGTTGAGGGTTTAAGTGCATGGGCAGGTTACAGCTACGAGATGGGTTGTGTGGTCGAAATTTAGTCACTGGGTCGAGTTATAAGAGGAATCTAGTTCCGAGGCCAGGCGCTTTCCGAAAGGCGAACATTGTTTGGAGGCTAGGGTTCCTGGGCCTGAATATTTCGTAGATATATACGGAGCATATACTGAGCATTGTTATATATAATATAACAATGCTCAGTATATGCTCCGTATAGGCTTCAAGCTCGCTTGGTTTTGTAAGAAGATTCGGTGGGTTTAAGATTAAGGCTACTTGTAGTGGCAGGGGGCTTAGTAAGTAGTACTAGATCTACTTAGAACCTATATTATATATAAGTAGAGCACCCTAAATGGGGTGTTACCCCAACTATAACCCTGGGGTTTGTGGCTCAGGGCGGTGGGCGGCCTCATGGCGATCACCACGGAGCTCTTCGACCATTCCGCCCGACAGGACAAGTAATGCATGTACATCTCGTGCATACGATTGGTGCGGTCCGAGCCTAGGTGCATAGACACATGTACATGCACACACACACATACATATCGTACAATTATATAATATATATATATATATATATAAATACAAATGTATACAATGTATACACACATAGTTCAACACGAGTGCTAGTCCAGCTAGCTAGTGTGTGTGCACATATAATCCTATACGTATCATGTATGTACATGTAAGCTTTAAATACATAATAAGATAGCCCACCCCTATCTACTTATCAACCTTTCTACTGTTTGCGATAAGGCTCTTCGCTCAGCATCAGCCATCTTCTCCCGAACTTCCGGCGGCGATTTGGGGCCTTGGGTTGTGTAATCGATATGTTCATACATAGCTAAAGAATCCTAGACCCTTGATACCGAACGAAGCATTCCTGAGAACCAGGCTCCTCCCAGTGCGATAGAATCGGGCATAGAGAGCAGCTGGACCTAGCAACTTCCCGTACTTGTCCCTTCGCCAATCGTCGGACTCCGGCTCTTGCTTGACCATCTGTCCGCCTCCAGCAGCCGTGTCTGCACCGCTCTGTGGCTGGACTTGCTTCTCGGGCACCTGAACCGTGCTCTGCGGCTGGACTTGCTTCTCGGGATCCTGAACCGTGCTCTGCGGCTGGACTTGCTTCTCGGGCACCTGAACCGTGTTTTGCGGCTGGAGTTGCTTCTCGGCTTCCTGAACCGTGCTCTGCGGCTGGACTTGCTTCTCCGCTTCCTGAACCGTGCTCTGCGGCTGGACTTGCTTCTCCGCTTCCTGAACCGTGCTCTGTGGGACTTGCTTCTCGGCTTCCTGAACCGTGCTCTGCGGGACTTGCTTCTCGGCTTCCTGAACCGTGCTCTGCGGGACTTGCTTCTCGGCTTCGACCTGAACCGTGTTCTGCGGGACTTGCTTCTCGCCCTCCTGAACCGTGCTCGGCAGAGCCCGGCCGTCCTCCTGAACTGTGATCTTGGGGAGCTTGTCGGCCGAGCCATCGTCAAGCTCAATCCCTTTGTCCACCAAAGTGTCCGCGACCTCATCCTCCAAGCTTTCCCTGCTCATGCTTCCCAGTGCCAGGGTGGTTGCCGAATCGAGGCTTTTCAAGGAGCCTCGCGACTCCTTGCCCTCAGACGGAGGGCCCACATCGGGATCACTCTCATCCGAGAAACCCTCGTAGGCCTTTTCGAGCAGAGCTTCCAAGGAATCTCGACTCAGACTCTTGTCTGACTGGAGGTGGTTCGTCATCCGATGCATGCTTGGATCCTTCCTTTCCCAGCGGCACGTGTCCGTAGAGGAGCTTTGCCACGAAGTTGCACTCCAAGAGTCGTCGTCATCCCAGCCCCGGCCAGCCCACCAGCCGTTCCAGGACATTGGGGTGTAGCCATACCAACCATGATCCCAGCCCCGATGCCAGGACCCATCGCACCACCAATCATCCTGCACCCTCTCCGGGGTAGGATCCACTGACCTGGCGGCGCCAGGTGTCCCAAACTCCTGGGCCAGCTGCTTGGGGCCCAGAGGAGTCATTGACATTGGCGACTCCGACACCACTTGGCTCCCGGTGTCGGCTGCACTCCAGCCTCGATCGCATATAATATATATATATATATATACATATGTGTATATATATATATATGTACATGTATATATATATATATGTACATGTGTATATATATATTTATATATATCCAGTTACCTAAATAGTAGGCTATTTATGGGGAATATAATATATGGTTAGTAACCCACTATTTCGGTAACTGGAGCCCATATATACATACTACTATTGCAATTGTACTATAGTACATTGTATATTATTGGAAAATACAGGCACTAAGCCTCAAGGGTTACAATTTTAATTTGTATGTCAATATGTACATATACATACTAATGCCTAGATCATGTGTGTACATGTGTATATACACACTACAGTACATGCATTCCATGCATGTTGTTAGCACCATGATATGCTATCTTATTCGGGGTTTAGGGGTCGGTATGAAATTCAGATTGGCTGCTCCTGCGAACCGGTGCTGGCGTAGAAGCGGGAGCAGGGGTAGCAGCGGTAGCCACATCCTGAGTCCTGGGACTCAACTCCATCAATCTGCTGATTTGATTAGGGTTCTAGGGAGTAGGGTGATCAGCCAAGGAAGGAATTGGGCATATATTCGATGCATATGCATATATGCATATGTATAGGAGTAATAGGGTGTAGGGAGGTTGTTATTATATAATGATATACCATATAATTACCCTAGGGCTCCAGTTACCTAAATAGTAGGTTACGGGGTACATAATATATGTGGTTAGTAACCCACTATTGAGGTAACTGGAGCCCTAGGTTACTTAAGAGTTGAGGGTTGGATCAAACTAGAAGTTGTGGCCACGAGATATTTTTAATTGAAGAGAGGCACGACTCTGCTGCCTGGCAGGAGTCCGGCTTCTTGGCAACCGCCTTCGGAACAGGCGGGGTGGACTTCGTTGACACCCGTCTCGTAGTGGCACTATCTGCTGCCGTGCGAATCTTCTTCATGTCAGGGCTCTTGATCGGGGTCCTGGGCGGAATTAACACTTCTAGGGCTCTAGAGGCTTGTGGCTTCGATGATTTCTTGCTTCATGGTCGAAATAATGACATACCGAGACTCGACTTCGCAGATGCAGAAGGTGGGGCAGGTGCTTCTCTAATGGCGGGTGCCAAACTCTTCACCAAAGACGCCCTAGCTTTGGCCTTTGCAAGGAACTGGGACACATCGGCCCCGGATGCCGTGCAATTGGCTCCATTTCCACGTTTCATGTCCTGCGTCAATTCCAGCGCAGGAACCCGGATTTGGGGCGTTACGGTTCCAAGGGCTCTTTTACGGTTCCAAGCCCTCTGTTACGGTTCCGAGGCCCTTCGTTACGGTTCCGAGGCCCCTCGTTACGGTTCCTAGCTTGCCCCGCCCAGCCACCCTATCCCTGGCGCACAGCACCCAAGCCCGAATTGGGCCTTGACCCAGCCCTAGCAACCCACTAAAACCCCGAAAAAGCCGCAAACGTGCTCCTGCAACGGCTTCTTCTGCTCTGCAGGCGAGCGGTGAGCCCAAAATCTCCTCGGAGGCACAAGGTTTCAAGGGTTGGGCTGATGTTTTATCGGGTTTCGGACTTATAGCTTGGGGTTTAGGCTGGGGTTTGTGGTATATACACACATAAAAACATAAATCATGTACATATATGTACATATATAGATTATTTGAGTTCGAAGATATAGATTATAATGCTGTGTCACTATCTATCTATCCATCTATCTATCAGATAGATAGATGGATAGATAGATAGTGACACAGCATTATATATAGATTGGATACCGGTCGATATATATATATATATATATATGTATATATATAATATAGATCTAACTATAATAGCGTAAAAACATCATGTGTTATAATAGATATATATATATATATACATATGTGAACACACATACTAGATATGTAGCTAGATGCTAGATCTTCTTATATTATAATATTCTATTATCATATATATATATATATATATTATATATATATATATATTAAATAGGTATAAGGATTCAATATGTGTCGGAATGCACAAATACCTGTGTATATTATGTTATTATCTATCTATCTATCTATCTATATATATATATATATACTATATACATAGTAACTGGGGCCCTAGGGAGACATACATATAATATGTATATATATATACACACACATATACATATGTATATATACACGGGATCGTAAGCTGTAGCGAGGGTAGTAAGCTGGGCTTGGGTTGGCGAGTTTGTTGTAGGTTTGGGGTTCTAGGATTTGTGGGCGATTCCAGTACTAAGCAGCTTCGTTTCAAGAACTATCTAGCATACAACGAGGCTCTCGGGGCTGGTTTCGGTCATGGAGTCTTCTGGAGGCGACATGTGCAGAAACCCAGACCTAAAATCCTGAACTTCAAACCCCTGACCCTGATCCTATGTAATTAAACCCAACCGAAAACCCTAAACCCGAAATCCAATATCAACTAACTTAGCACCCCACACCGTAAACTCAAAAACTCGATGGCTAAAACCCTATACAGCCCAAACTCTAAGCCTGATCACATGATGTGCATATATTCTGTAAATGTTCATATTCGGGGTTTGCAAACGTGATCACCGACATCGAGCATCCAGAGCATCGACCCCGATCGATCGGTCCTCACGGCTCACTTGCAAGACTCGCTTTTGGAGCCAGACGATTGACCTAGTGGGCTCTGGTCGGACAAGCGAGACAGCCCACCACACTCGTCAAGATGCTGTGTGGAGGGATCCTGGAATCCGCCAGCACGGAGCAGGTCTTGAGAAGGACCGTGCATCACCACATGTACACAGCAAATGGCAAGGCATTGCCGGCAACCCAGCTCACCGGCCATCACCCGCACCCCACCCACCCCAGTATCGCCTTTTATCGCCTCGCCCGAGCATCCTGCACTCTAATGACTGACAAGCCGATGTTCTTGGCTTCGCCCCGTCCACCTTTCTAGCTTTCTGGTTTCATTAGATCGATTGCTTTGGGTTATCATGACATACTTAGTTGGCTGCCACATGGCATGGGATTTGGGTTTTCGTAAAGGAAAGCCAGCAATCCTAGGCCTCGTATTTCTACCATAAAGTTCAGGCAAACTGAAGTTAGGACTTGGCTTTTCTAGTAACCGGGCTTTGGGGCTTTTGCCGCACAGCTCTCGATTTCCAGCCGTGTTGCGGGTGTCTCGCAGCCGGTCGGTCGGCCAAGTTGTTCCTGGAAAGGGGTTTTTGTTTACGGCTTTTAAGGGTTTAGTGTTAAGGGTTTATGGGTTCAGGGTGTGGGAGTAATTGGGTTTAGGGGTTTGGGGTTCCGGGGTTTATCGCTGCGGGGTTTACGGGTTTAAGGTTCAAGGGCCCAGCTGTCGCTTGAGTTGGGAGAGCTTGTTACATGTTTGGGTTTGTAGGGTCTTCAGCCTTGACTGTGTTTAGTGAGTTGCACTTATTAGAAGCTTCCAGGCCTTCACAGGGTTCACAGGAGTTTCGTGGGTTTTGGAGGGCCTCGGGGGTCTATGTAGCAAGCTTAAGGACGACGACTTTTCGTGGTCAATCCGCATATTACAAACTTACAAATAAGCTCCTACCCTGTCCGCCTAAATTAAAACTCTATACACCCTTATATAAATCTTAAATAGTATAATGATTAGCTAACAACCCCAACTCCTATAAGTGTCGCAGGTCCCTGCATCTGCCAGAAGCGAGTCTCCGAGGCGACGAGGCTAAGGTTTAGGCGGAGCTTTAGTATGTAGTATAATATGAATTTATAAGGCCTTAGTGTAGGCCGTAGGGCTTGGTAGGGATTAGGATAAGACCTGTATAGACTTTGGGTTAAAGGCCTTCGAGAACGGACCCGGCCTAAGAACCCACCCCTGTGCTTTCCGGTTCAGGCATTTGAGTATGTAATTCGCGATTTTGGCGCTAGCTGGAAACCTCGCTACCTACAACCTACAATCCTACATCCCGAGCCAATTACTACATTCCGAAAACTGAGCTTCTTGGGATGTTGTGACTAAGCACATTGCACTAATACACCGGGGCCCAAACAAACCCTCTTTTTTTTTGTCTGGCCATCGGCCATCGAGACACGGAACTGGCCTATCGTGCAGACCTTGCTGTATATGCCAGGAATTGCTCCCCGGCGTTACGAATGGAGTGCCATGACCAGCTGGACTATGCGGATAAAGAACCGCTATCACAGTGGGGATGCCACCAAAACCGAAGCTTCGGCGGACCGTGTCGCCCGATAGTCCTCGGAGCCATTGACTCCGAATGCGACCGAGGTCATGCCCAAGCCAAGATGGGAGGACTGGTTCTACTGGCTTCAAACGGTCGATGAGACTGTGGCGATTTCGATCTCTTGTGTTGGCCACAGCACTCTTGAGCCAAAACCCCTAAGGCCCCAAACCCCGAAACCTTCAACCCCAAAATCCCTAAACCCATTGTACACCTAAACCCCTTAATTACTCACGGAACCCCACCAACCCAAGAAAACCTAAACCCCTAAATACCTCCTAAACCCCAGAACCCCTAATCCCCAAAACCGCATAACTAGAATGCCAAAACTTCGCAAACCTAAGCACCTAAATCCCTAAACTAACTTCCCATGTCAGTACTGCTTCCACTTGAAGGGTTTTGGGGTTTAGGGGTATGGGGTTTAGGGGTTGATTGCTAGGGGTTCTGGGCGGCTTGGAATATGTAGGGGTTTGTGGTTTGGGTGGTTATAAGCTTGTTTGGATTCAGGTGTTAAGGGGTTGGCGGTTTAGTGGTCGAAGTATATCCCAGCACTAAGTCCATCCGGGGCCACTATATCTTAGTATTTCGTATATACGATATGATTATATCATATAGATATGTAGACACACTAATAATATAACTATATAACAATATTTATAGAAATAAGCCCCAACCAGTGCACTTTTCGGACTTAGTACCCAAAGCCTTTTCCAAGCCTATTAGCCCTCGCACTCGGGTTCACAGTTCGGCCTTAAGCCCCAGCCTCTTGGGGGTTCAGCGCCCTAAGTCTCTTCCCAATCTAATAAATTTACCGTTTCGGTATTTACTGTTTAAATCAAGTTTGAGCACATGATCGAGATTGCTTCATGACGTACACCTACTCGCACTCGGTTTGCAAGACAGGTTCAGGGCTCGCCCCTTCCCGGTTTGGGTTTCGACACCCCAAGTCCATTCCGAAACCTTAGAAGTTATACACTCTGTATGGGTTTTGGGGATAGCACCCGAAGCCTAGTCTTAATACTTTGATTTCTGGACTACAAGGCCTGGAATGCCCACACCCCAACACCATAGCTGTATAATTTGGGTTTGGGGTCTATGCTTATAATATGTAATAATCGCAAAATTAATCCTATAACCCCGAGCTTTAACCGACAAGCTGCCCGGCAGGCTGGCAACTCCGATCTGATCGAAGGCAGCACGGGCACAAGCCGCCTGGGATGAGGTATGGATTTTGAGGTATATGTTAGAAGCTGCCCCCACCCTGTAATAGTGACCATAAGGATTATATTAATGTTATAGTAGGGCCCTATTATATTCCTATTATACCACTATTACAGGGTGGGGGCAATACATATTGAACTACTACGGGTTCAGATCTGGGTTCACTCCTACGTGATCATGACAGCAAAAACCGGAAAGGGTGTGCGAAGGCTTAGGTTTTAGGGTTTAGGGGGCTGGGGGTTTTAGGGTTTAGGGGTTCCCAGACCATATTATTACCAAGGCAAGCTGCTAGGAGCGGCCACACGGGGCTCCGAAAGATCTCGTGAAAAGCCCAAAAGCTGTGTCCGGAAACGAGGTTGAAGTCGCAACCGGGCTTTAAGCATATCAGAGATCAATGCATTGGCACATGTAGGCGGCAGCAACTGCAAGGATTTTATGGTAACTCTTTGCCCGCACATCATCCACCGACTGTCGTGGAAATCCCGAAACCTGCGACCAATGCCTCCAGTTTAGGAATCGACGTATAATTAGTATCAATACTCTTGCCCTATGGGATCCCCATTCAGCACTTTGCACAGCTATCAACGGCAGGATCACACGTACCGGCAGTGGTCGTCCATACAGCAGCAGAAGAAATAACCTGGGTGGCCAAGTCAATAGCTAGGCTCGGGATGATGTACACGGCTGTAGGGCTGGAATCCGTGCTTTCAGCGGGGTTGTAGTGTGGCAGTTAAGATGTCGTACTGGGAGAAAAGTTCAAAATCATGAAACTCCGGATCAGGCTGTTGTGGTTGGCTGTGGCGTGAGCAGCTCCAGCTTTCGTGCGGGTTGCCCGGATCTAGGAATGTCGCTTATATATTCAGAACCAATCGAAACCAAACCCCAGGTCCATAGTTCATGTTGTACAACACCCGTTACCCCCAAATCACCAAGCCCTAAGCGCTACCAAATTGAAACACTCGAGTGAAAAAGAAAAGCCACAGACCTCGAGCTTAACCTGCGACTCAACCCATTAATCCGGGTAGCCCACTGTGCCTGAAGTCCGGCGACTTCTCAACCCGACCGCCTTAAACCCTGAGCCCTAAACCCAAAACTCCAAAACTCCTAATCGTTGGCCCTAACCCCCCCAAAAAACCCCTTAGCCCCTCAACCCTATACCCCTAAAACACTAAATCCCAAAACTTCAAAGCCCTAATTAGATTAAAGTCCAATAACCTTACAGACCTCCTGTGTCTTGTGGCGAGCAGCCCGGCATCCAGAAGCTTCGAGAAGATGGTGAACTCGTCCTAAGTGCAAGCAGCCCGACTACCCCGAACTTAAACCCCTGAGCCTCGATTCCCAATTCCCAAACCCGATAAAGTCTCGAAGGAACTGGAGGATCGGATGCTTGTGAGTTAGCACTGCTCTTGCGACTGCTACTTGTCGGCTACAAGTACATGACATAGTGGCTAGTACACCAGTACGTACTTTCACATGTACAGTGCTGCCGTGCTTCGGGATTATGACAAGACTTTGCTGCCTCTAGGTCGTCGGCCTGGAGTTGTGGGGAGCTTAAGGGTATAGGCAGTAGGCAGCACCACTAGCAGCAGTAGCAGCAGCAGTAGCAGTACTCCTAGGCTAGTAGTTCTAATATATATAGTAGTAGTCGTAGGAGTAGTAGTAGTAGAAGTAATAGTAGTAGTAGTAGTAGTAGTAGTAGTAGTAGTAGTAGTAGTAGTAGTAGTAGTAGTAGTAGTAGTAGTAGTAGTAGTAGTAGTAGTAGTAGTAGTAGTATAAGTAGTCTTAGTAGTAAGAAATCAGATCCAGTATTCATATAAATTCTGCACTATACCTTGATGACCCTAAATCTATGGTATATTCGAATTCCTTATTGAATTCTGGGTAATAATATGTCTAGGATTTATATCATCAACCGTAGCACTCTAGTACTAGCAGTACTAGTAGTAGTAGTAGTAGTAGTAGTAGTAGTAGTAGTAGTAGTAGTAGTAGTAGTAGTAGTAGTAGTAGTAGTAGTAGTAGTAGTAGTAGTAGTAGTAGTAGTAGTAGTAGTAGTAGTAGTAGTTAATAGTAGCATCAGTAGTAGCAGTGGTAGCAGTAGTAGTAGTAGTAGTAGTAGTAGTAGTAGTAGTAGTAGTAGTAGTAGTAGTAGTAGTAGTAGTAGAAAAAGTAGTACGAGTTCATACTAGTAGTAGTACTCGTACATACTCGTACCAATATCTGATCTATTTATAATATAGTACAGTAGTGGTACTGGTACCACAAATAACGACCAGGCTTCCCTCTTGAATGCCACGGCACGTGTTCCAGGGTACAGCTGGTAGGCGGTGCAGACCGCAGCGAGGCGAATCGAAGAGAAAAAGCGCCACATCACGTGGCCTCGGATGTTTTTCCACGACATAGACGTCGACAGTTTAGGGATTGAGGCTTATGGGGGGTGCTTAGCCGTTTATAACTGTTCCCACCGAAGACCGAAAACCTCCGAAAGTCGGGATTGGCTGGGGTGCTAGTCGAGGTGCTGCTCACTGAAAGGTTTACTTGAGCAGCTGCTATCTCGATCGAACGAAGCAGCCACATGCACGAACCAAGCATGCAACATGTAGCATGCCTCTTCCATGGTGTACATACGACAGCATGCAGACTGCAGAATCTTTTGGACCTTGCTGCCATTCTCGTATAAATGCACCAGCCAGCGGCACAGCCGAAGCCCAAAATGAACAGCATGGCATATTCATGTGTTCGGGCAAGCGATCACCATGTGATCATTTCCACGAGGCCAAAACCAGATCCTGAATGGACCCCTCCTGATCATTCTTTGGAGTGCTCGCTAGCTTCTAGAGTGCAGCAGTCAGGAACCGAACCAATCAGGACCACCCTACATCCTCCACACCATTCTGCAGCAGATCACTTCACAGCCAGTTCGGCCCGGCGCTGGGCCGTCAACTTCATCAAGCACTCTTTCTCCTTCTCGAAGGCATCTTCCAGGACCGACAAGTCCTTGCCTGCCTCCAAAGACAAAGCCTCACAGCATGCGGGTTCTGGACAGCACGACATACTCTCATTGACACCACAGGATTCACCATACAAAGGCAGGCAAGAAACAGCCTTTATGCAAGGTTGAACGATCTCCTTCCATGTGATTGGGAGGCCCGTGTGCTTGCCAGTGATGAACAGCACCTGCGACACAAAGCCGACAACACGACACACATCACAAACTGACCTGCATGAACATCCTGCCTGCTTCTTTGGCTTCGTTGCTGTGGGCTTGCGAACGACACCGCACTCGAACGGTCGGGTCCAATAGGGCATCACCTCAACATCATGAGCTGTTGTAGCAATGATCAATCCGTAACATCATCCTGGCTACCCGATCGCGATTTGTACATGTGATATTGCAAGCTGAAGCACTCGATAGTTCTCGAGTTCCGGGAGGCTCTTCAAGACCTCCCGCTCCTCCGGCGTCCTGGTTGATCGTTTTTTCGGCTTCTGTCCTTCATCGGCCTCCTGTCCTGGGCCGTCGTTGTCGCCATCGACCTCTTTCACCTCATCTGGATCAACTTCCTCCAAAGGCTCTTCGGCCTTTCGCTTCAGAGCTGCAGCCGCAGGCCGCTTCATGGCAGCTCCACTCCTGTGTGATTGATGCTCACGACACACATAATGAATTGATCAATTCAATTGCAACCGTGTTCCTTCCACGGCCACGGCCACGGCCACGTCCGCCACGGCCTGGCTTGTCCGTGTCAGGAGCCGCCTTCGCTTTGGCAGCTGATCGCCTCGGATAATTAAACATGCACACTCCAAGAAATGGGACATGCTTTGCCACAGCCAAATAGTCAGCTGGAGAGCAGTTTCGACTGCAGCTCGGGCAAAGCATCTGTGCACCCAGCTGCTGCATCCTCAAGAAGCTTCTCAGCTTGGGAGGAATCCCAGGTCGGAGCTTCGGTCACCAGGGGCTTGCGATCCTGCACACAAGGGAACCTATGCATATATGACCCATACTGACAAGTGCTGGTGTGATCCCTCTAGAAAGTCCTTGTCACTGGTGCGATCCCCGTGCGAGTCGTGCTTGAGGTCACCGGTATCCTCGTTATATTAATATTAGATTGTGACGTACACACACACACACACACACTCACAAACTCATCGGCTGTCCTTATGCACGGGTTTCTGCTTCTCTGCTGACGGTGGGTCGGGCTGCGTGAATGGGATGTCTTCTTCCTTCGAGGGACAACGAGATATTCAAGGTGCATTATACACACAAACCCACAACGAATAATTGTGCTGCTGCTGCACCATCGGGGTCTCGTGGCAGGCATCTCCAAGCGGGTCCTGCAAAAAAAATCGTTTCAGTATATATGATGAAGCATGCATCGAAAGATGTGTGTCCTGGAAAGGAGGCACTGCCGGATAGGCCTTCGGGTCCACTACCTGTCATGTCTTAGCAGTTGCAACACGTACAATGCGAAAAGACCCTCAATGACAGAACAATCCAGCACATACTCGATCAAATACCCGACTAACACATCCTCGCCTCGATCTCCTGCTGGCCGCCTTCCTCGGTCGGATCCTCCACCATGGCCTGCGAATCCTCTACCGAGGCCTCTTGGCCCCCTTCCTCGGTCGGATCCTCCACCATGGCCTCCCCATCCTTGGCCGAATCCTCTACTGAGCCCTCTTGGCCCCCTTCCTCGGTCGGATCATCTACCATGGCCTCCCCATCCTCGGCCGAATCCTCTACTGGGGCCGCTTGGCCCCCATCCACGGCCGAAGCATCCACAGCAGTTGCAGCCGGCGCTTCGAGAGCAGCGAGGATGTCCTTGAGTGTTTGTATCTTCGGCGACCTCACCAAACGAATCAAACCGGGCAGGACCACACACACACACACACTCATATAAACACATGTATAGACCATGCATATATGTGCCGAAAAGAATCTTCGACCGGTCCGGCGTTTTCCGGTAGAGCCGGATCAAGTAGATCACACGGGCCCGCAAAGTCCCGGCGTGATAGTCCACCCACATCTGCAAGCCAGCTGCACAAGAAAATCTTCTTCCGGTCAATCAGCCGGCCTGCGTCTCCTTCTTCAGCACATCTTTCCCCATAATATCGTGTTCCTCCAGAACCCATTCAAAAGCTGCCTGGGCTGTGCATGCTATAGCTACAGGTTAAACACCTCTATCGGGTCCGAAACACTCTAGAGCAGAACAAGATACCTTGTATTTTGCCATATTTGGCTGAGTGCATCCAAAGGAAGCAAGAAGCCCGGCGATCACATCGAAAGCCGCTTCCACAGCAGCATCTGAAATGAATTGGAAGGGCTCGAAGAACTCATGCCCCTCAGAGGCTGATTAAAAGAGAAAACACATTGCATGTGT